TGTAATCTTTTAGCATCTAGTTTCCAGAAAGGTGCTAACCTGTGTGTCGTAAGGAGAAAGAAAGGCATTACATACAGATAAACTTGGCTTTCGGGAAACGTTTTGTTATTTCCCTGGAAACTGATGAGAGAGAGAGCATCACAGAACTTGGATAATCATGGCTCTGCCCTCGGGAATTGACCCCAGAGCCACACTTTCTGATGATTCCATTTTTTTTTTTTTTTTAAATGGGATGTGACAATCACCTACTCATGGAGAAATGGTACCAGACCCTCGCAAAGGAAGAGCTTCAATTTTTACAGATATTGGATATGGAGTAGTTTGAGGGAGTAAACTATCTCTGTTTGGAATTCATTTGAAAATATTTCAGTAAAAATAAATAAAGCAAATGTAACAATGTAATAACAATAAGTTAATATTTGAAAATTTTCATTACAAGCATTTAACAACAACAACAATAATGGACTCTAGCAAGGCAAGTGGAGGGGACAGCATTACTTACTGAGAAGTCTTCAGGGAGGTCTGATCCCCATTAGTGAAGCTACCCAGTCTTCATCAGCCTTGGGCAGTCAGAGCCAGCGTCAGGAAGTGATTTTTGGTTTCCTGTCTTCCTCCCCAAGTCGACCAGGTGTTGTGGCTGAGTTGGGGGAGCCTTCTGGCCCTTCTCAATACAAGACACTATCTGTCAGATGAAACCCTATTGAGGACAGTGGGCTGCTTAGCATAGCCAACCAGCATGGGGGGCTTATGAATATGCAAATTCGAGTCCCCGAGCTGGTTGGCTGACCCCTGTCATTTCCCACCCCCATTGCAAATTGGTTCTCTGAAAGCCAGCTCAGAGTGTTTCTTGAAATGCCATCTTTTCCTTGCTTGTTGGGAATTTACAGAGCCCTTTGAAGATTTGGAGTGTGGATTGCTTAGCTTCCCCACTACTCCGCCTCAGCTCCTGACCTCTGCCTCCAACTTCCGTGGTGAGACACCTCCAAAGCGATCGCCTTCAGACCCTTCCAGCAAGCCCAGGAGTCTGAATTCTATCTAGCACCAAAATCTGGCACCTCAGATCTTCGACGGTGCAGCAGAAGTTGGAACACGATTAGGGAGGCTGGTTGCTGATAGGGAGGCCCATTTGTGATAGAGTTGAGGAGAACCTGCTTATACCCAAATCATCACCCAGAATTTTACATTTTTCTCCTCTTCAGCCTGGGAAGTGAAAAGAATGTTGTAAAATGCAGCAATGAAAATCAGAACGTCAGGCTGTAGAGATGGCTCCGCAGTTAAGAGCGAGCGTTTGCTTCTGTCCTTCCAGAAGCCCCGGGTTCCATCCTTAAATAAAATTTTAAAATCTTAAAAAAAGAAAGAAAATCAATAACAGGATAGTTCATCTTATCAGCGTGAATTAATCCTCAAAACATAATGCAGAGAGGAAAAAAAAAAAATTCAGTCACAGAGCGGTACAAGGGCTGTGCTTCCATTTCAGTTAAGTTCAAAAGTAGCATTCCAGAAGGGTCTGGATTTTCACTATAGCTACATCTATTCATTATTTTAAATTTAGCTTCGTGTATCAGTAGATGAAATCTGGGTGTCATTGATAGTACACAGTGGCCCTATATGGCATTGTGTGTGTAATCAAGGTGAACTAACGACTGACTGGAGTTTTCCACTCATGGAACGAGTTAATCCTTTCTAAAAACCACAAAATTTTTATGAAATTTGAAAGTGTGCATTGTTTCTAATTTAACAATGAACTAAGTCATGTATGCATATGCATATTGAGGCTATAATGGTGGAATTTGAACCCAAAGCCCTGAACCCTGATGCCACTTGCTTTTATGAACACATGTCCCTATAGGCCAATGGTTCTTAACCTGTGGGTTGTGACCCTTTGGGGATCGAACAACTCTCTCACAGGGGTTGCCTAAGACCATCAGAAAACAGATATTTACATTATGATGCATAGCAGTAGCAAAATTACAGTTATAAAGTAGAAATAATAATTTTATTGTGGGGGGAATGGGATGGTACAGTGGTCAGGGGGGCGTGGGAGGGAGGGAGAGAGGGGGAGGGAACTGGGATTGATATGTAAAATAAGAAATAAAATAAAAAACAACAACAAAAAAGAATAATTGTATGGTTGGGGGTCACCACCTCATGAGGAACTGTATTAAAGGGTCAGAGCATCAGGAAGGTTGGGAACCACTGTAGGCAGTGCTGTGTCTAGAGAGGCTTCAAACCAGAAGAATGTACTAGTTTATAGGATTGTACCTTGCAGACCACAGAAGACAATTTCAACCTTTAGTCTCTGGGAAGGGCTTTCATGCAATCATATACAAATGTATTCATGTTGTTTTTTATTTTAAATTTGGCAGTACTGAGGATTAAACCTAAGGTTTTTTGCATGCTAGGATTGGGTAAATAGTCTACACTGAGCTATATTCCCTGTCTACTCTCCTTTTTGAGGAAGGACCAGGCTGGCCTTGAATCCATAACCCTGTTTACCTCAACATTCTTAATTCTGAATTATAAGCCTGTGTGAACATGCCCAGCCCAAGATGAGCTGGGTGGTGGTGGCCCACACCTTTATTCCCAGCATCAGGAAGCAGATGGAGGCAGAACTCTATGAGTCTGAGGCCAGCCAAGGTCTACAGAGTAAGTTCCAGGACAGCCAGGACTACACAGAGAAATCCTATCTCAAAAACACAAAACAATACAATACAAAAATAGAAAAAATCAAAGATTAATATGGGTGTAAAATTCCAGTATATATGCTTGCTACATCATACCTAAGCTTGAGCTTCTAAACTTAGAGAAGGATCCCAAAAATTAACCCTAAAAGCCATGAAAAACTTATGTAACTATGTGTGGGGAGGCTGGGATGTAGCTCAGTGACAGAGCACTTACTTAGCAAGCATGAAGCATTAGCACAAAACCAAAACCCAGAAAGTATTAAGCAACTATCTAAGGAATGCTAGCAGCAACCTCAGCAGCTGGATCGACATCTCTCCTGGCTATTGTTCTTGTATTCCTCGGCAGCGTTGTAAGCACAGAAGTATTTGTCATTTCTCAATTACTTATTGGCTAACTACTCACTGTGCTGTGAGCAGACAATTCAGAAGAAGAGAGAATGGTCTTGGTTTCCCCTAGCTTAGCCAACAAGAGGTGACAGGTTTGTTGGTATTTTTTTTAACTTTATTATTTTTAATTATGGGTGTCTGTTCTGGGGTGTCCATGGAGCCAGACGACTTGGACCCCCTGGAGTTGGAGATAAAGGTTGGTTGTGAGCCATCTGGTATGGGCGCTAGGAACAGAACGCTGGTCCAATGAATGCTCACTGAGTCATCTCTCTGACCCCAAGACAGACAGTTTTAAATAAGTCATTATGGTATAGTGCACTGTAGGGATACAGACACACTACTTTGGAACTATAAAGTACTTGCTCACTCTGCCAGACAGGAACAGGAAAAGGATTCAGGAAGGAACTTAAAGGGGAATTAAAAGTCTCTAGATAAATAGAAAGGAACAGCCCACACAAAGATGTGGAGTGAGCTAGTGCACCGGGCGATGGCCAGCAGTGAATTATGACTAAGGCTCAGCATCTGTGAAAACGAGGATGAAGATCAGAACCCAGAAGCCAGATTATCAGGCACGGGCTAGGCAGGAGTGTGGGCTTTATAGACAGGCTGAAGCAACTGGAAGACCTTAAACAGGGAGAGGCAGGATTAGCTTCCTGCTTCAGAAGATCTTGGACTGAGGTGTGAAGACAGGGTGGAGGAAGTGAAAGTGTAGATTTAACCCTGCTTAGGCAGCTTTAGAACTACCCAGATGAAGGACATTGCAGGCCCAATTATGAGCAGCAGCTAGGAATGGATGACTTCGTTTCTGTCCAGTGCTCCAAGATTCCAGGGTTTAGCAAGTGAAGGCTATGTGACGGTCTTAAGAATTAGGAAGGATAACTCAAGTAAAACAAACATCAACGGGCACTAGGTGGTTCGTTTGTTCATACAGTAGTTTCTGATTTATGCGGCTGCAGCTCATGGAATTCTTCTGTTAGGGAGTCAGGCCTGCAGGCATAGGGAATTAAGAGCAGGCAAATAAGGAGGGTAAGGGCTGCCATGTGTTTTCATTGTAGGGCAATGGGCAGAAGGGTATACCCAAAGCTGGGGAATGGGAAGCCTACAAATGCTTATTTTATACAACTTATGCCAATGGGATACAGCACTGAACAAACCAATACAACCCCCATAAGATAGTATGCGACATTTCCAGAGCTGGGTAACAGACGGCTTCCAGAATGCACAGGATGGGTGGAGAACAGTTAGTTTGGCTGGAAAGTTTTCATAGGGACCAGAAAAGATCAGGAGATGAAGCACTGTGAGGCTATTGGTAAAAATCTTTCGGTTCCTCAAACAGTGGATCTCAATCTTTCTAAGGTATTGAAGGGCTGCACCCTTCAATACAGTTCCTCATAATGTGGTGACCCCCAACCATAAAATTATTTCGGATGCTACTTCATAACTGTAATTTTGCTACTGTTATGAATCGTAATGTAAATATTTGCTATGCAGGATACTGATGTTACCCACACACACCAGTCGCGACCCACGGGTTGAGAATCGATGTTCTAAAAGGACAAACGAGAGAGCCCTTTACAGGTTCTTGGTACTCTAAGTTTGCTTGAGGCGCTCCAGGCTCAGAGAGGCAGCGTCACCTGCCCAAGTCCGCGAACATCAGGCTGAGACCCGAGTCCATAGCCTATATCGTCCTTTTCCTAGAGTGCAGAGGCAGAATGCCTGGGGCAGCGAAGGGCGCCAAACGTAACAGGCTCCGAGGAAAAGCACGGACGGCTCGAACTCGGGGACGCTCCGGTGGCCGGATGGCTGTCCTCGAAGAGTCCTAACCCGAGCTGGCCGGGGCTGACAGCGCCACAGATCCCCACGGGCCTGGTTCACACTCCCCTTCCACCTCAACCTGCTAGTGGTTCGCTCCGAGCACCCCTCGCTGCATGGCGGGTGCTGCGGCCTGCCTCACTTCCGGTTGTCGCCGGGCCCTATATCCGGTGTCCGCCCGCCCTCCATCCCGCTTCCTCCGCGATGCTGTCCCGGTCTCGCTGCGTGTCCCGGGCGTTCAGCCGCTCGCTTTCTGCCTTCCAGAAGGTACCGTCTGGCGAGGCCGGGGCTCCGGCGGGTGCGGAAGCTGCCCGTGGGCGGACGGGTGGGCCGAAGGGCAGGGCGCTGTGCGCTGGCCAGGCCGGGCACCAAGGGCACCGGGACGCAGAGGCAGCCGACGCCCTGGGAGCCGCCCAGCCGCGTGTGCCGAGTCCTGCAGCCCGTGGCGTCTCCCAGGCAGCTGCGCCGGCCGTTCCCTGCCGTCCCGGACCCTCGGCTCCGGGGCTGGAAGCCGCGCCCGCCGCGACATCGGCTGGGAGTGGGACAAGGAGGCACGGCCCCCAAACGGGTTCCGCGGCCTCCTCCCCCTCCTCCCCCTCCTCCTCCTCCCAGACCCAGCGCGTGTCAGGCTCGTGCGCTGGTTGACTTAGGCGTTTCGCTTTTACCCCAGCAGTTAACGGGATTCACCTGTCAGCAGCACGATAAACGTGCACTTAAAAGAAAAAAAAAAAATGTTTCTTCCCTCCTTTCATTTTGGGTGACGTCGATAATGTCTTCTTTCTCAACAGGGGAACTGCCCTCTAGGGAGACGTTCCCTGCCTGGTAAGTTCTGCCCTTGCGGTCACCTAAAATGCTCTTCTCGTGGGCAGAGCAGCGTGTCAGGAAAAGTGATGTTTCTTCTCATGCTATTTAAAGACAGTGAAATCAGATAGATGCGAAGGAAAATACTCCTTAAGTATAACGGCTGCCGTTTATTTACTCGGTACATAATTACTAGGTTTTGTTCTGCTTTTTGTGGTGCTGGGGATCGAACCTAGGGCGTGCGAGGCAAATGCATTCCCACCGGCCCTTGGTTGTTGGATTTACCCTGTCAGGTACTCATTAGAGGTGCAGCGATTAAAGTCTTGGCCTCCCGGAGCTCAAGTCTCAAGGTAGAAAGGCAAAGTGTAAATTGCTAACCAAGTGAGCATATTGCATAAGTGCTCACTCTCTGCTGTGAGAGTGGACAAAACAGATTTCTCTAAGTAGGTGACATTAAAGCTGTGACTTGAAGATGTGACAGAGCTAGTGAAGTGACAGCAGGAGAGAGAGAAAGGGATAGCATGCTTGAATCAATGAAGAAGGGAACAGGGTGGTATTCTTTTGAAATTGGAAACAAAGTGACTTGCCATAAGACTTTAGTCAAAGGAAACAGTATCCTAAGATAAACGATGATGTAGAGGCCCTTGGAAGTTTAGATTTTTTTCCCCCCTTAGTTTATTCTCTCTCTCTCTCTCTCTCTCTCTCTCTCTCTCTCTCTCTCTCTCTCTGTGTGTGTGTGTGTGTGTGTGTGTGTGTGTGTGTGGGCTGGCTTGTCCTTATGTGCCCAAGGAGGCCTCAAGAGGTGTCTGATCCCATGTAATTGGAGTTACAGGTGGTTGTGGAATACCTGGGTTCTCTGCAAAGGCAGTACAGGTTCTTAACCTCTGAGCCATCTCTCTAGCCCCCTCACATTTGTGTGTGGGGTTTTGTTGTAGTTGGTTTTGTTGTTTTTGTAGAGGAAGACAGTTATTAGCAATTTTATGTAGCTTACTTTTAATCATGTGCCTGACAAACATTTATTTCCTGTTTTTGTTGTTGTTTTGTTTTGTTTTTGAGACAGGTTCTTGGTGTCTAGCACTGGCTGGCATATGTAGACCAGACTGGCCTTGAACTTCCTCTTGGCCTCTGCCTCTGAGAGCTGGGATTACAGGCTTGTGCTACCACATCTGGCTCGTGCAAAATATTTGTTGAAAGAGTCAGTCTTACTGTAGGCTTTCTTGTGCCAAACATTGTTCCAAATGCTTTCTGTGCTATTCATAACCAAATGAGATTTAGTATCTGTATTTTAAAAAAGCTTATTCCAAGATGAGGGGTCAGATTTCTAGGTCAAGGTCATTCAGCCAAAACTATTGGGTCAATCAGCCCTACCCCCAACTCTTTTCTTAGCCCAAACTGCTTTACTGATGAATAAGTGTTATTATTTACTTATGTACTTAGCAGAGTCTGTCTGTCTGTCTGAATGACAGGATCTGACGTAGCCTGGGCTCAACTCAAACTAGATAAGTAGTCCAAGGTGACATTTAGCTTTTAATCTTCCTGCCTCTACTTCCCAGTGCTGGGATCACAGGATTTCTCCACCATGCCTGAGTTTATGCCATGCTGGGGATCTGACCCAAGGCTTTGTGTATGCTGGGCAAACTCTTCCAAACTGAGCTCTGTCCCAGCCTTGTCAACAGATTAGAGTGCTTACTGTGCCAGCTGCTATGCTAGGTGATAGGATACAGATGGCCTCTATCTGTGAGAATCTCATGAGTTAGCTGGATAGACAAGCAAATACATGATTGTGTTCACATTAGGACAAACGTGGTTACTAAGAAGTACAGGATGTGACATGAAGGTAGCGTGATGAAGCCCAGCTTGGGAAGTTAGAAGGGAATGATGGTGAGGCCTTCCCAGAGAAGTGACATTTAAGATGAGACTTAAAGAATGCATGAGTAAGCTAAGGGAATGATATTCCGGGTAGGGAATACTTGTGCAAAGGTTTCCAAGAAGGAAGAGATTTGACCAGGTATAGACATGGTAAGCTGGAAATCCAGAGCAGGCTAGGTGGATTGTAAGGTGCTTGGACTTTACGCCCATGTCAGGAGGACATAAAGTGTCTAGCACAGTTCATAGTACATTCTCAGGAATGACCTTTCTTTTCAGCTGGGACTGCTGAAAGGTGGCACAAGGATTTTCTCCACTTTTTAAGCTGTCAAGAAAAGGAAAAGCCTTGAGTTGGGGGTTTGGCATCTTGACTCAGGCATTCTTGTTAGGCTAATCACCAACCTAGCTGTATATAAAATAAGAATAATGGCAGGTGACCATTCTTCAGGGTGTTGCTGTGAGTGGAAAATGAAGAGGCCATTGTATAGATTTTGTTTTTATAAGCCTAAAGCACTATACAAATGAAACTAATTATAGGATAAACCTTGTACTGGACTCCATTTTCTGAGTATCTATCTGTGCGGGCTGCTGTGTTCTGGTTCTGACACTGGCTCTGCTTTGGATGTGTGCACTGTAGTCATTCATTGGCTACTGCATGCAGAGGTGACTGGCTGACCTGACTCTGGGAATGTCTGTGAGGGAATGTGTTTAAGGATCAGCAGACTTGGTCCATACCTTCTGTACCCCCAGTGTAGAAAGGGTTGTTAATAGACACAATAAGCAACAAAGAAAACGTAAAGAATATATTCAGAAGAAGCAGCTTTGGTTAGTAGATATCAGGGAAATGAATTTATCATAAAGACAGTTGGTTTGGTGGGTAGACTCTGTTCTTCCTCCCTCGATCTTGCTCTCTCTCTCTCTTTCATACACACATTCTCTCTCTCTCATACACACATTCTCTCTCTCTCTTTCTCTCATACACACATTCTCTCTATCTCTGCATCTCACTCACTCATTCACTCAAGGATCATTTTGCTAGAATTTGAGAGAAAACAGCAGGTTAGGTAAGCTGTGGATCTGGCAGCTGCCCTGAGAAGGAGATAGTCAGGCCTTTTGAATTAGGGTCCAGGAAAGCAGACATGTTCAGCAGTGGGCATTGTGTGGGGGGGGAGAGTTTTCTTTTCAAGTTTCAATTGTATTTGATAACTTGGGAAATAGAGACATTCTATTATGAAAACATAAAGACAGGCAGGTTATACAGCCTTTAGGGCTGCCTCCTCAGATCTCTTTCCTGTCAAATGCACACCCACTCTTAATCTCCCATACCTATTCTCTGCCCATAAGGCAAGAACATTTGAGAAGCATGATTCCGTATGAAAAGGATTGTCATTGCCTGAAGTTGGTCCACTCTGTCTAGGGTCTATGATGCATAGTTCTATTTAATATACTGTACAGTAAGAGCTGTTGATGAAGGGTTGTTTTGTTTCTTGCAGGAGTCTCCTTATGTCAGGGACCAGGTTACCCTGACAGCAGGAAGATGGTGTAAGTATCACTGGGTAATGTAGATGTGTGACCAAGGTTGATTTACTTAGGCACAGATTCTAAATTTAAACGTTGGATGTCTTCACAGACCTCCATTTCTATAATTAAGGTCGTTATATTGAATCCCTAGACCTAACCTTGACAGTCATGGTCATATTTATTATAATCTACCTTTGTCATCAGGTCAGTGGTCAGGTGATCAAGAGTGTCCTGGGCCTTCTTGGGTAGTTAAATATAATGAGAATGAACTTGGAACTCTCTCTGTCTCTCTTTTTTTTTTTCTTTTTTTTTTTTTTTTTAATGAGAATGGGTATCAACGAGAACTGAATATTCTAGTTGGATACAAGTGCAGCTGAGGGGTTGGAGGTCACATTTGTTGTAGAAATTGAGAGCATTCTCTTGGTAGCATAGTTACTCATTTTAAAAATCAGTAAATGCAGAAGACCAGTTAAGCCCTAGGACTTCTGACTGGTTTGCTAGGGATGCTCTTCTTGCATAATGGAGAGTTTGGAGGAGTGCCATCCATGTGTGGTCCAGATTAACCTGTACTTGAATGTTGTTTTAAGTTATTTTGCATTCCAAGTATTTTTAGGGTGCTGAGAGGCTGCTTTCTAGTAATCTATTCAAGGACTGTGGAGCTGCCTTGTTTACAGGGTGAATGAAAACTTGGCAGGAGAACTTTCTTAAAGTTTGGCTTTCATTCCAAAAAATGGTTAATTAACGTGCTATTTGAAGTATAAAACTTCAGGATTTTTTTTTTTTGGAGGCAGGGCATATGTATATATACAAACTTTATACATAGCATTCTGTGTTCTGTACTTTACATCTTTTGTATTGTTCCCCTTGATACTACCTACATATGTACCTTATAAAGTTAGCCTGACATAAAAAGGCCAATAGGTAATGAAGTCTATTTTACTTATGTAAAGATAAGTATGTAGTGGTGCACACCTTTAATCCCAGCACTCCAGAGGCAGGTGGATCTCTGTGAGTTTGAGGCCAGCATGGTCTAGATCAAGTTCTAGGACAGCCAGTGTTACATAGTAAGACCTTGTCTCGGGAAAACAGAAACCAAAAACCCCCGGCAAAAACCTGTTGAGAATGTCCCCCAAATCCTTGTGTAAAAAGCAAACGTTTCTGTCAGTTTTATTTCATTCTCTCAAGCTGTAGAAATAACTGTTGACTGACAGCTAGCCTTCCTAACCATATGGATCTTTATCACGTTCACTCACCAGAAGTAACTGTTGATGAGTGTGCACACAAAGGATAGCACTTTCCAGCTTACACTCCCATGTTTAAACAGGCCTGTTTTGGAAGTTCTTTGTAGTAAGTCCAGAATTGGCCTATGTGCTGCCTCTTAGCAAGACCGTGTTAAAGGAAATGTCATGCAGGTGTTTTTTGTGGGGGAGTTGGTCATTGCCTAAGTCTTCCCCTTGTTTCTGGGCTTACTGTCACCTTGCTGCCTTATCTGATATAAATGTAACCTGAGGGCAAAAACATCTTTGTATTTGGCACACTGGCATGTGCTGCTGCTGAGGACATGGCAAAGAAGACAGTCAGGAAGGTAAATCATTTGGTTTGTTTGCAAAGGACCAAGTTTTTGTTTTGTTTGTTTGTTTACACTTAATAGAACCAGTACATTTCGCTGTTGAGAAGTTACATTTCATTATAGCACAGGGCAGTATTTACTGCACCTAGGTCATCAGGCTTTGGTCAGATCTCTCCAGGTCTGGCCTGATGTGTACTTTGACAAGTTACCAAGCATGAGAATCTGGTCAGGATTCACCAGTTCAAAGAGATAATCCATAGTACCTAGATGGAGATACTAGTGGTTCACATTCTAAATGAGTTAACATTTGTGTTTCTTTTGTAGCATTAACAACAGTAGTGTCTTCAGTGTTCGCTTCTTCCAAACCACAGCTGTGTGCAGTAAGTACCTGATTTCTCATGAATGGACTTTCTCTGGAAAGAGCAGTAGCTGAGTTTATTAAAGAAAGTCATTAACAAGACAAAATGAAGCACTTGTGATTTTCCTGTTTGTTTTTTTCCCTAGAGAATGATGTGATTACAGTCCAAACCCCAGCATTTGCAGAGTCAGTTACAGAGGGAGATGTCAGGTGGGAGAAAGGTAAGGTTTCATTTTTTCTCATGGCACCTGTGCCTCCATCTTTTCTTTACACACACCCCTACTTCCTCCCAGTCCTGTAGGAGAGTGGTCTTTTAACACAGAGCTCCTGCCTAAGAGGAGATACCTTTGATTGTCTTTCAGCTGTTGGAGATACAGTTGCAGAAGATGAAGTGGTTTGTGAGATTGAAACTGACAAGGTGGGCTTATCCTAAATCAGTGACCTTTTCATGATTAGTCCTTCTTGTTAATCTAAGGAAAGATACATTTGAAGTAGCACTAACCTCACTTGTAAAAGTTCTTGAGGGAATCATGGGGGGAAAAGATTTATTAAAGCTTAATCTTGACTATTCTGTATGTACTATATATATTAGTACCTTTAATTGGATAGCTGTTTTGTGTTTTTTGTGGTTTCTGAGCTTTTTGTGGTTTTCTGAGCACTGTGGTTTCAGTGTTTTTCTTTGTACCACTTGGAAACATTAACTAAAGTTGGTTTTAATATTTCTGAGAAAGGATAGAGAAGTGAATCTTCACAATAGCAATGATTTGTCCTTCTCTGACTCTGAAAATGTGGCCTTAGGTGTTTCAGATCCTGTGCAGAGATGTAACATCCAGATGTAACATGTTGCAACTCTTAAACTCATCCTGTTGGTGATTACACAGTTGATTAATGCTGATACCAATGTAGACTCTCTCTCCATCTCTCTTCCTTTTCTAGACTTCTGTGCAGGTTCCATCACCAGCAAATGGCGTCATTGAAGCTCTTTTGGTACCTGATGGGGGCAAAGTTGAAGGAGGAACTCCTCTTTTCACACTCAGGAAAACTGGTGGTAAAGAAGGTCTCCTGGTGGTGAAGGTCTCCATTGTTTTCCCGTGGGGTTGGGGCTGAGTGTACTATGCTAGCAACTCCATTATGCCTCTCACTGGTGTTCTGGTTACACTTAATTGAGAGATAGGATAAGTGCCATTGCTATATGGTGAACTTGTTCTAGAACAAGCTTAATATTTTAAAAAGTCTGTAATACTCTGTTCTTTCCATATTTCTCAGATTGGACTTTTTTAAAGGAACTAACAGAAGTGAAGAGTTTAATGATAGTGATTTTTTTCCCACATTGACCTGAATCACACCTAGCTTTAAAGAAAACTATGAGCTGGCGAGTTGTGGTGGTGCACACCTTTAATCTCAGCACTTTAGTCCCAACACTGCAGAGGCAGGTGAATCTCTGTAAGTTCAAGGTCAGCCTGGTCTACAGAGCTACACAGAGAAGCCCTGTTTTGAAACATCCCAACCCCCCCCCCAAAAAAAAATAAAAATGAAAAAGCCTTGCACTCCAGAGATTGCTGATGCATCACCTTGATTGGTACTTTTTTAAAAAGTGTTCCCCCAAGTGATTGTATAGTCAGGCCTGAGAGCCACTGTTTAAAAGTGAGAATTATAGCCAGGTGGTGGCACACACCTTTAACCCCAGCTCTCAGGAGGCAGAGGCAGGCAGACCTGTGTGTGTTCAAGGCCAGCCTGGTTTACAAAGTAAATTCCTGGACAGGGCTGTTACACACAGAAACCCTGTCTCAAAAAACAAAACAAAAAAAAAAAAAAAAAAAAAGAGAGAGAGAGAGAGAGAGAGAGAGACTATTTTATGTGTCTGTTGTAGACAACTCAGTGTATTTTTCTTTTTTAATTTTTAAATCTTATTTTACATTCCAACTGCTGTTCTCCCACCGTTCCTACTGCGCCGCCCCTCCCTAGCTCACTCTCCAACCACTCCCCACGGGTAAGGGCTCCCATGAGGAGGCAACAAAGTCTGGCACATTAAGTTGGGGCAGGACCAAGCCCCTCTCCCATGCATCAAGACTGAGCTTGGCATCCCCCCCTAGGGGATGGACTCCAACAAGCCAGCTCATGTACATATTTTTCTTTTCTAAATTACCTTTTTTTGTTTGAGACGGGTTTCTCTGTGAGCCTTGGCTAACCTAGAACCAGCTCTGTATATCAGACTAGCTTTGAACTCAGAGATCCACCTGCCTCTGCCAACGCATGTGTGTTTGTATTTGGTGTGTGTGTGGGGGGGGGGTGTATGTGCAAAAAGCATGCTTGTGGAGGTCGGGATAACTTGAGAGTCAGTTTTCTCTTCCATGTGGGTTCTAGGAATGGAACCTGGGTTATCGACTTGGTAGGTAGCAAGTGTCTTTCCTCACGAGTCATCTTACTGCCTTCATTGTAGTTTCTTTTCATATCTAACATCTTAGGAAAGATTGACATTTCTCTCTCGAAGAAATGCCAAAGAAAGGTGTGTATATATCTGCATTGGAGCTTGTGACCAATATTGTACATTAGAAAATCTGCTTTTCTGCCTTTTAAATATTTTTATAGTTGTAGCATTTAACTGTTAAAATAGTCAAACAGAAACATGAATTGGATCATTGAGGTCCAGTGTTAGGACAAGATCAAGTTCAAAGCGAGGAAAAAAGTCTAAAATAGCTAGGATGAATGAATCTGTTGGTTTAAGTTCATCTTTCCCCCTGGGTTTTTTTTTTTTTTTTTTTTTTTTCCTTCTTCTTTTTTTAATATTTGGCTCTGTGTGTATGTGTAAGTGGGATCAGAGGACAATTCTTGGGTGTCTGAGCTTGCTTTCCAATCTTAGTTGTTCTCTGTTTATAGACTCAAAAGTTACCAAGATTTAGTCTGTGTCTACCTCCCACCCTGTCGTGGGAGGATGGGGATTGAAGGTGTACCCACTGCATGCAGCTTTGTGTTGGTTCTGGGGAATTGAACTCAGGTCCTCATGTTAACAGAGTGAGTGCTTGGCTCACTGAGCTATCTCTCCAATATACTTACTGGCCTGCAACACGATACATAGGTCAGAGTGCCGCCTCCTAAGTTGTTGGGGTTAAAGGCATGTGCCACCAAACCCAGCTTTACCATTCATTTTTTACTTGTAAAGTAATATCCTCCTAATTTAACTATAAAACTGGATATAATGCACGTATTAAAGTTATAGATTTATTACTTAAGCATTTGATTGCTTCCTACTAAGAGTCATTCTGAATCAAATGCTTTGAACTGTTTAATCTGTGTGTGTGTGTAAGAGAGGAGATGGAGAAAGAAAATGTGTGAGTTTAAGTACATATACTCTGAGGGTCCAGAAATAGCCATTGGATCCCTTGGAGCTGGAGTTACAGGCAGTTGTGACCTATCGCACAAGAATGCTGGGAACTGAATTCAGGTCCTCTGCAAGAGCAGTATGTACTATGAACTCCTGAGCCAAATTCCAGGCCCCCAAATAAAATAAAATTCTTACCAAGTGCTCATTTAAGATTACAGGGTTGAGAGGCTAGAGGGATGGCTCAGTAGTTCAGAGTACATACTGCTCTTGCAGAGGACCCAAGTTCACTTCCCAGTACCTATATAGAACTCCACACCTCCAGATCCACACATACACAGTTAAAAATAACTCTTTAGGTCTGGTGATGGTGCACACCTATAGTCTCAGCACTCGGGAGGCAGAGATAAGTGAATCTCTGTAAGTTCGAGGCCAGCCTGGTGTACAGAGTGAGTTCCAGGAGAGCTAAGGCTGATAGAGAGAAACCCTGTCTTGAGAAAATAAATAAAATGTCAAACAAAAAGTCTTCCAATTTTTTTTTTGTTTGTTTTAATGGCTAAGAGTATTTATTTTATATGTTATGTTAAAGTAGACAAATATATCAACATTACTATAATTAGAAGTATTATATGGATACATTTAAGTAGCCATTTTAATGTTTTCAGTTGCCTGGGCTGTTTTTGCTTAAACCAGTGGTTCTCAAACTGTACCCTCTTTTGGAGTGTGGTGAGGGAGATTTGTATGACCCTTTCCCAGGGATTGACCCAAGCCATCTGCATATCAGATATTTACATTACAGTTCATAAATGCAGCAAAATTACATCTATAAAGTAGCAACAAAAATAATTTTGTGGGTGGGTTGCCATACCATGAGGAACTGTATGAAAGGGTCACAGCATTAAGAATAGAGTAGAGGCTTAGATTAGTGTGTATATTTAGGTGCTTTGCTTGTAACAAGTGCCTAAGAGACCTTTGTCTCCAAATCCCCCTTAGCATCTCAGTTTAGTTACTTTTCCTTCCAGACAATACCAATGGTAGCTCTTTTTTTTAATCCAGCTGCTCCTGCTAAGGCCAAACCATTGGAAGCTCCTGCTGCAGCCCCAAAAGCAGAGCCGGAAGCGCCGGCAGTCCCTCCTCCCCCTGTAACAGCCATACCCTCTCAGATGCCACCAGTGCCCTCACCCTCACAAGTTCCGTCTAGCAAACCAGGTAAGACCCCATGTTAGCTGATTATCTCATTGCTGTAACAGCCACCTCATGGAAAGCAACTTTAGAGAGATTGATTTAGGCTGTTTTAAGGCTGAGAGTCCATCATGTCAGGGAAGGTATGGTATCAGTGTGGTGCAGATGGTCACATAGCCTTTGCAGCCAGGAAATAAGAAAGGTTAATGCTGCTGCTGCTCCATTCACTTACCTACTCTCTTCTTAAAAAAAAAAAAAAAAAAAAAAAAAAATCCCTCCCAGCCCATGTTATAGTACTACCCACATTCAGAGTGAGTCTTCTTCCCGCTCTGAAAGTGAGAACTTCAACTTCTCTGGAAACACCCTCATAGACAATCCAGGATTTTATCTCCTGAGATCAACTGTCAAATTTACTCCTTGTAGTCTCTGTCTCTCAGGTACAGTCTGAGGCCGTCCATGGCTCTGAACATGCCAGGTTGGCTGCTTTGTAGAAAGCCCTCTAGATTCTAAGAACTGGGTTTGCCTCCCAGTTTTCTATTTTCTAACCATATGACATTAGTCTCATTATTCCTATGAGCAGATTGTTCATCTGTGAGCTTGAAATGATGCTGATAACACTCAGTATCTTGAGGGTAAAGTGATAATGTGGTGTGAAAGTATTGTTTTCCATGTCTGAGGTAGCTGTACCCTCTTTTCATTTTCAGTTTCTGCAATAAAACCCACTGCTGCCCCTCCACTGGCTGAGCCAGGAGCTGCCAAAGGTGTGCGTTCAGAACATCGGGTAAGCCTCTGAAGACTTCTAGGAAAGTGGCAGGGTTGCTGTGGAGATTGACAGTGTGATGCTCACCTTAAAGAGTTGGCACCGCCTTCCCCGGACTTGAGGGTATAGAAAGTTCCTTTTCCTAGTCTCAGAACTGTCAGATGGTATGACTAAAGCATGGTGTCTTCTGAACACTTGTCTAGTGGGTTTTCTGCTATATTGTGCTATCTGGAATTCTTCCTAAGAGTGAAATATCTGTGGAGAACAATAACTTCCTTCATAGCACATCCTTCCTTCCCTCTGTGACATGCACTCCACAGAGATAGTCTGCTGAGAGCTCTCTTCCTAAACTTCTGGGATATTTTGCTGTTGCTGGGGGATTAGCGGGGGCCAGATTATTATTGCATTGTAACAGTAAACTAGCTGTCAGAATAGACATAAAAACCTCAAGGAAGTATGGTCAAAGTGTGGGTTCTTTGCCTGAGAATACTTCCTAAAAATACCATAGCCTCAAAAGTTTGTTGTTTTTTTTTTTTTTTTGAGTTTCTGTTCCCCAAGTAACTATTCTCACGCAAGTCTTTATCAACAGAAGTTGCCCTTTCTGTGATGACTCTTAAACTGGCTGGGTCTACACCACAGTCTTCCTTTTATAAATTGGTTTTGGTTTTTAAATCACACTATTTCCTGAGCTTCTTTTCTTGGTCAAATTTCAGGCACATCTGAGTGAATACTTTGGTCTCTGATTCTGTGTTTTTGGTCTGAGGCTATTTAGGAAAAGGGAAGCCTGTACCTTACACAGTAATGATTAGGCCTAGCATTGTGGCACCTGCCATTGATCCCAGTACTTGGGAGGCAGAGGCAGAGGGCCTCTAGCCACCTTAGTCTCCATAGAATTCCCAGCTAGCCAGGGCTAAATAGTGAAACCCTATCTCAAAACCAAAAGTGTGCTCCCACCCATCTCTGGCAGGCTGAGCTTGGGCCCTGCCTGGGATTGCAGTCAGATTGTCAGCGCTTGTTCTACTTTCAGGAAAAAATGAACAGGATGCGGCAGCGCATTGCTCAGCGTCTGAAGGAAGCCCAGAATACATGTGCAATGCTGACTACTTTTAATGAGGTCGACATGAGGTGGGATCTCTAGTCCTTCTATTCCCCGTGTCTGTGTTTCTTGTAGAGTACTGGAATGTGTCCTAGTCCTTACCAGCTGCTGTCCAAAGCTAGTTTGACCAGCGAGAGCTGTGTCTCTGTTCACTCGTTGACTTATGACTTATGCAGAATGACCCCCTGGTTCTGTGTGCTAATTTATTTTTCTAATATTATGTCTGCTTCCTCTGCAATGTAAAAAGCTTTGCCTTTTGAACTCTCATGCCTGAACTATTATGATTTCTGATAATTGAGCCTAAAATAATCATTTTTTATTTAGTTTTTATATTTATTTTTGCGTGCGTGTGTGCGTGCGTGTGTGTGTGTGTGTGTGTGCGTGCGTGCGTCCAGAAAGGGGCACTGGATCCCTTAGAATTGGAATTTTGGAATTTTAGGTGGTTGGGAGCCCCTTGACATGAGTGCCAGGAACCAAACTTGGGTCTTCGTGGAAGAGCAGTATATGTTCAGAACTGCTCCATCCCTGTTTTGTTTTTGAGGCAAAAATCTCACTATGTAGCCCTGGCTGGTCTAGAACTCACTAAGTAGATCAGGTTGGCCTTGAGCATACAAGAGATTTGCTTGCCTGTGCCTCCTAAGTATTGGGATTGAAGGTGTTTGCCATCATGCCCAATTTGTTTTTGTTGTTCGTTTGGTTGTTTTTGAGATAGGCTAGGCTTGAACTCTCTTCATAGCTGAGAATGATGTTAATGGTGCCACTATGCCCTGCTATTGTAATGAGCTACTTCTTGACCTACTACCCTTGGAATGGAAAACCCTTCACAACATGCCCAGAGCTAGGACCCCACACTCTGCTTCTTTCTGGCAGGGACTGTTTCTTGTGTATGTTCCCAAACAACTCAGAATCAAGCAAGCAAGGGGTAGAGATTTACCACCTCTCATTCTTCCCAGTTTTGATCATGGAGTTGGAACTAAGTTGAGATTGTGCACATGTGCATATAAGAGACAAAGATCAACTTCAGTTGTTTTGGGAGCCTTGTTTATCGAAGCAGAGCTTTCTACTTGCTAGAGTTTGTTAAATAGGCTAAGCTGACTAACCAGTGAGGCTCCTGGGATCCGCACATCTCCATCTTCCCAACTCTGAGATTTCAAGTGTGCACCACCACACTCAGGTTGATTTGTTTGTTTTTATATGAGTTTTGGAGTTCAAACTTCTCATGCTTGCCTGGGAACTGAGGTATCTTCCCCAGCCCCAAAATCAGTTGATTTCTGAAATTTAAATCTCAGTTCACTACACCCATTCCTGTAACAAGCTAATTGTTGACTTGTTCAAAATTTTATGTATGCAAGTATTAGCATTGTGGGGAAGAGAAAATAGTTTTATTTAACAAGCAATTTAACAAGCATTTTAAGTGTTTATCATATGCAGAATACTAAAATGTGATGTTCAGGGGGCTGTACCCATGAGTATAAAAGCTCTCTGAAGCTTACTGTCTCATTTTGGTGAACATTAAGTAAAATCTAGAAAAAAAGCATCAAGAAGATAAAAACAAGTATGAAGTGGAGAAGGGGAAGTTTGCTCTTGCTAAGGGTAGAGGCAGCAAAGGTAGGGCCAGGAAAAGTCTCTGGGTGGAAGGGGTTTGAATGGGCTATCAAGAATGACAAGCATAGCCAGGCGGTGGTGGCACATTCCTTTAATGCAGCACTTGGGAGGCAGAGGCAGGTGAGTTCAAGGCCTGTCTGGTCTACAGAGTGAGTTCCAGGACAGGCTCCAAAGCTACAGAGAAACCCTATCTCAAAAAACCAAAGTGAGCAAGCAAACAAACAAATAAATAAATAAAAAGAACGACAAGCATTTAAGCCAGGAATAGTGGTACATACTTCTGTAATGCTGGAACTTAGCGAGTAGAGACAGGAGGATGGATAGTTCAAGGTTATCCTCAGCTACGTAGAGTCCAAAACCAACTTGCATTATATGAGACCCTGCCTCAATAAAAACAAAATGAAATAAACAAACCAAAATGCTAAATAGTGTTGTAAAGAAAGTCATTCCACATAGGTTTAATAGTTTGGAACATGACACAGTCAAGAAAGATCATTTCTGCCATGATCAGTGTGTGTGTGTGTGTGTGTGTGTGTGTGTGTGTGTAAGAATGATGGTTAGATCGTATTTCACTAGGTTTTGAATGTCAAGGTAAGAATTCATTAAATCAAAAGATACATCATCAAATCTGTAGGGCATCCATCTCCTTTTCTCTGAGTATTAAGTCTCTCCATCTACTCTTCGGTGAGGGAATTTGTTTCCTTGATTTATTGACAGTGTGTGGGGTCTGGTTAATTTCACTAGATGACATTGTTATACTGGGAAGTGCTCTGGATACTGAATGTCATTTTCTGTTCCATCCATAGTGTAGGGATGGACTTTCACTAATGAATGACCAAGGCTGCAGCTTATGTTTCCTGCATTAGAAGCAAATTGTACACAAATTAAATTGGACTTTGAAATTTTACCCAGTTTCTTAAGACAAGCATGTAAATATTTATGTACCTAAAAGATGCAGTTGGTCCAACATCCTTGATTGCAAGTAGGTTCAATAGCTAGATCTCCTTTCAGTAGCTAATCTAGTGTCACTTAACAGTCGCCTGAGGCCCCACTGCGCCAGTAATCTGGTTTAGATCGAGTGCCCTTTGGGTCTTGGTGCCTATCAGCTAACCAAAAGGAGACCTTGCTGAGACTTGCTCCTTCCTCCATTGTCCCAGCTCTGCCTCCAAGGGCAGAGCTCTGAAATAGAAGCTCCTTAATGACCAGACAATGGCATTCAGGCAGGCCTGAGAGCTGAGACACTCAACCACACCTCTTTCCCACTTTTGCAGCCCTGCGTCTTGGGAACCAGTAATGTCTTTAGAGTGGTAATCCTAGCACTAAATGAGGTTAGACCCAGGAAAATAAACATTTAAACCCAATCAGTGTCCCTAGGAAATTTTCCCTTTTTTTCAAACAAAAGGTCTGAAGTGGGCAGTTAAAGCTGTACCACGTCTTATCTTTCCTGCTAATGTTGAATTAAGCCATTATAAGGGGAAAGGGAGAACAGAGCATTTGGGCCTGAGATAAAGTTAAATTCAATTTCCATCACAGAATGTCATTCCTATAATCATAGAAGTTCCTTTGGGAAAATGATAGGAGCGACGTTTCTCACTATGCAGTGCTTGTGTGGAAAAAACAAAACAAAACAAAAGCCCTACTTGATAGACGAGAGGATGTTTAAGTTGCAAAGCCTTCTCAGAGGCAAGGCCCGCTACTGAATCTGACAGACAGGCCACAGCCCACACGGAGCCACTTTCTAAATACCAAGGAAACCACAGTCGGTAAAGCTAATCTTAGGAGCAGGCTCTGTGTCATGTCTTTGTTTCTTGATGCCCAGCCCTCTCATGTGATGGGCATTAGTAACTTTCGTGGGTAAGTAGATAGAACTGCTCACTCAGGAAACAGTGACCGCTGGCTTTGCACAGCCTGAGAGGACACTGGTTTACCCTTCTGTATGGTTAGAGTTGCTTGTGTTTGCATGGAGCCCATACTTCATGGGTAGCTTTTTTTTTTTGTTTTGTTTTGTTTTGTTTTCTGCTAATTAGGAGAAGTATCACAAAGTAAACAGCTTTGGGTTTTGGCCTTTTTGTTTTGTTTTTGTTTAATATAATGCTAACCAAAGGAATATTGTTTTTTAGGTTTTTTTTTTTTTTCATTAATTTGTTTCCAGTGTGGATAATTCATGATTTTAGTGTAGCCAGAAATACTTTTTCGTTCAGAGAAATGATGTTGGTATTCAGTGTATTCTTTTGTTCATATTATCTGTTACTGAAATCTGTGACTTCCAGAACAAAAAAAGGATTCCCTTAAAAGTATCTTAAAGATAGGTTGGCACTGATTTCTTCTAGTTCAGTTTTTTGTGACAGAGCAGTTTATTACATTGACTGCTAGTGAATGTTTCAAAACTTAAACTTTGATAGTACAGACTAAGGGAAAAGCTCATCCAGTTGTATATATGGGTAAAAACCTATGAAAGTCCAACACTGGGCTTAACCACTCCTGGCAGGTAGTACAGGCCTGTAATCCCAGCTCCTTGGGGGATTGATCAGGAGAACTGCATGTTTAAGGCTAGCCCTCAGGATTTCAGTCTTGAAACTTTGAAAGGGCAAGGGGCGTAGATCAGGAGTAAAACCCTTGCCAGCATTGCTAAGAGGTCTTTGACTCAGCCTATGGTGATGTGTGCATGTACACACACACACACACACAGCTTCAGTGGTAGTTTCTTTATATCATGTATTTACAGTAACATCCAAGAGATGAGAGCTCGGCACAAAGATGCTTTCCTGAAGAAACATAACCTCAAACTAGGCTTCATGTCAGCGTTTGTGAAGGCCTCCGCCTTCGCCTTACAGGAGCAGCCTGTTGTAAATGCAGGTGAGTTTCTTGACCCGTGTGGCAGAGGTCTATGAATGCAGACCTGCTGTCTCAACAGTATGGGCTCACCAAGGCTTCTTCTTTCACAATTGTAGGCACATGACCACCTTCCCTAAGGGGATTTTTCCATTCACCTTTCCCAAATACTATCATGGTTACTATCTCCCCAACAAGTAAGCAGAAAGGTTTCCCCTACTGTGTAGCTTGCCAGTTGCTCTGGCCACAGGCAGGCTGGGACAGCCCAGCTTCCCAGGCTGTCTGCTATCTTGGGGAATCACAGGTTCTAGCTGCTCCTCACCACCACCCTGGGCTCTTTACTTGGGACTTGACTTCCACATTTGGCATAGGCTCCAGGTCAACCTTTGATCTCAGGTTAGGAGGCCTCATGGGAAGGCTTGGGCTGGTCCTCATTTTCTTCCTTTTTACTCTGACCATTGAAGTGTTGGTTTAGTTCACAGTTCTTTCCTATTGAGGCACTTCTGTGTTCCTTGAGGGTTAGGTAAGGGGACGGTGACACTTTTGTAGTCCTCAGCGTAAAATCCCTAGTGTCTCTCCCGTTGAGTGCTGTGCTCTGGGATGCTGTCTTTGCTTGTAGGCATCTCAACAGTCTCATTCATTGACATGCATTCTAACAGTACAAGGTAGAATCTTTGGAAGATTCCAAAGCCTTGATTTTCTTATAAATGGTAGGTACAATTTTCAGTAGTTGGTTTACTATTTCAATGTGGGATGTTTAAAAGCCAGACACCCCTTCCTCCATTTCCACCCGGATCTCTAGAGAGAGGCTTCCCTTGTCTTGCTGAGGAAGCCCACTGGGCAGCATGCTCCACTTCTTTTACCTTCTTACAGAGTATCCAATAACGAGCCATTCTCTGCTCAGGGAAGGCTTTTTGTAGACAAGAGGTTAATTTGCATTTACCATAGGAACTTTCTGTGAGCTGTGAAAAACAGGTGCTCCTATGTGCAGGTTCATTGAGAGCTTGGGAAGAAGTACTGTCATAATTGGGATAGGAGCAAGGAGACTGAGTGTCAGTTGCTTGTAATGTAGTCATTCTCTTGTTGATTCGTCAGTCCATACTGCATTTGGCCACTGAAAATTTTCAGTCTGTTCACTCATTAGTCTTGGCCAAGAGGGTTGTGTGTAACATGTTTTCTCTTTCATAGTGATTGATGATGCAACCAAAGAAGTGGTGTACAGAGATTATATTGACATCAGTGTTGCAGTTGCTACCCCAAGGGTATGTTGGGGCGAGAGTTGGGAGTACTCGCTTAGGTCCTGTCTTAGTTAGTTTTCTATTGCTGTGATAAGACACCAGGACCAAGGACTTATAGAAGAAAGGGTGTATTGGGTGGGCTTCAGTTTCAGAGGGTAAGGGTCCATTGCTACCATGACAGGGAGGTGGTGGCAGCAGCAGACACACTGCTGAAGCCATGGCTGAGAGTATGACATGAGACTTAATCACAAAGCAGAGAGAAAGCTGGCTAACGGGAAATGGCATGGTTTTTTTTTTTTTTTTTTTTTTTTTCTCCAAAACAAAGCCTGCCTACAGTGGCACTCGTCCCCCAGTGAGGCCACGCCTCCAAATCCTCATCTGTTCCACCAACTTCACACCAACTCTTCAGAACAAGTATTCAAATATATGATCTCACAGGGCCATCCTCACTCCAACCACCACAGATATCACCTTATTTATGTTAAAAAGTAGATCGCATGGAAGGAGTCATTGGTAAAAAGTAATTTTTAAAAAATCATACCGCATCCCTTTATCTTTGTGTAAGTCTTTTTTCTTAATTCCCATGAATTAGGTTAGAGGAGACAGACCCATGGATTAAGTCAAGGAAATTGTAACTATAAAGAGTACTATTTGTTTTGCAACTGAACACAGATTTTCTCTCCAGGGTCTCGTGGTTCCTGTCATCAGGAATGTGGAAACAATGAATTATGCAGACATTGAGCGGACCATCAGTGAACTAGGAGAGAAGGTACAGTGCTAGCTGCTGGCCAGTTGAGGGAACGCAGCCTGCAGAAGTTGTCATTGCCCGGGCATCTGGAGTCTTTTTGTTCTCTAAGGATACATAGCCACCTAGAAAAGCAGTGGCCGGCCCTATGAGGCAAGGAAAGGCATCTGCCAGAGCCTCACATGCTCAAATTATGGAAACCTCAACAGTCAAGAGTCTGCTGCAAAGAAATGTCAATTGTAGAAGCATGTTTTTTCTACAGTCACCTTAGCTGTCATGCTTGCACTACTGATCTCAGATGAGAGTTTTCTAGATTTACTTTTTTGGAGTGAAGAAATCTGGGTTGGTTAATGTTTCAATTATGAAACTTGTTTTTAGGCCCGAAAGAACGAACTTGCCATTGAAGATATGGACGGTGGTACTTTCACCATTAGCAATGGAGGAGTTTTTGGGTCACTTTTCGGAACACCCATTATCAACCCCCCTCAGTCTGCCATTCTGGGCATGCATGGCATCTTTGACAGGCCTGTGGCTGTGGGAGGCAAGGTAAGAACCATTATTTTTGTGATTTTTTTTTTTTTTTTAATTGCTAAGTGGCTATTAGAATTCTAACCAAATCCTTATTGTAAAGCATTCACTGTAATTTCGGGCTTAAGTTCCATTTCATAATTACTAAATGATAGCTAAGGCACTGCTTCTAACTGTGACCTATGGATATCAACTTCATCTGGGAGCTTGTTAAAAAAGCAAACACCGAGCTGGAGAAAAGAATCAGGAATTAAGAGTATTTGCTGCTCTTGGCAGAGGACATGGGTTCCGTTTTCAACATCCACATAGTGGCTCACAGCCATCAATAATTGCAGTTCTGAGGGGTCAGGCACCCTCTTCTCCTCAGGTACCAGGCATGCACGTGGTGCACATGCTGGGGTTAAGGGTATACATCGACCACCACATCTGGCAGATAGCAGGAAATCTGAACTTAAAAGATTGATTTTTTTCCCCCCTCAGACTAGAAATATAAACCAGTGGCAAAGTGTTTGTCTAACGTGTTCAGAGCCCTGAGTTTGATAATGCTAGTGCATGCTATCGTTACAGCATTTGGGAAGTAGAGGCAAGAAGGTGAAGAGTGTAGTGGCATCATTGGTTGTACAGTGAGTTTGAGAACAGCCTGTGCTACATGAGACCAGTTGCAAAAGCAAACAACATACATTTTTTTCTCTTTAAATTATTCCAAGGCTACGGTGTTGCTCAGTAGTAGGGTGCTTGTCTAGCATACCCAAGGCCTGGGGTTGGTGATAAACATTGTAACTTCAGCCCAGCAGTGGTGGTGAACACCTTTAATCCCAGCACTCAGGAGGTAGAGGTGGGTGGATCTCTGAGTTCCAGACCAGCCTGGTCTACAGATCAAGTTCTAGCAAAGTTGGGGTGATTCACAGAGAAACCCTGTCTCAAAACAAACAAAAAGATTGTAGAGTAGCTCCTATAGGCAGCCACAACAAGAAAAAAAAAAAAAAACCTTTCTGTAGGTAACAGATAAGCAGGTAGAGTGTGGCGCTGCTTACTTGTTTTAAAGCAGTTTGAGGAACCTGTTTACTTGTTTAAACCTTGCTTCTGAGTCCCAGAACATAAGCTTGGTCTTCAAAATAAACCCAAGTTACCCAGAGGCAGCACTAGTAGGAGACTTGGAACTGGAAACTCTGTTATGGGCTTTGCTTTCTCATCTCTTTCCCTTGACAGGGCTTTCTTTGATCTGCTGGATATAATCCCATTGCCCTCTCCTCTCTGCAGGTGGAAGTCCGACCTATGATGTATATAGCCCTGACTTATGACCACCGGCTGATTGATGGCAGAGAGGCTGTGACTTTCCTCCGAAAAATCAAGGCAGCCGTAGAAGATCCGAGAGTCCTCCTCCTAGATCTTTAGGAGGAAGTCACACCCCCTACCTATTGATCATGCAAGAACTGAAAACCAGTCTTCTCCCTGTCCCCTCACCAGTCCCAGGTTAGCCGGATGACAGGCAGGCACATACTGTTGGCCTCAAGCAAGGAAGCCAGGGCACTATGTAACCAACTTTCCCAGGTCTCAGTGTCCCTTGTAGGCTCTTTCTCTCTCTGTGCAGCACTCTCTTGCCTTCTGAGACCTTGGGCCTGAGAGAGAGAGAGAGAGAGTGAGAGCCTCAATGGATGCTCATTAATATTCCTGCCTTTCTTCCAGCCCTCTGCAAAGACAATTTTGCTTCTCCCCGGTAACAGTATACCACAGGGTTACCACCAGGGACCATGTGATTGAGTTCTGTCTTTGGAAAGTGTTCTCCAGAGATGCCCTGGGGGTGCTTTGCCTCGCAGGCTCAAAGCCTCTGTCCCAGCTGTGCACTTTCTCACGCGATGCCACCTGTGTGGAGGGACTGGACACAGGCAAAGAGGCCCTGCTCTGCTTCTTAAATGCACCACCATTCTGAGCTGTCAGCGGCTTCATGGTGCCTCTCTACCTCTTCCAGGAAGCACAGTCCAGGGGCTTGGGGACTGGCAGGATGGTGCAGAGTCCCCTGAGATTACTGTTCAATCACAGATAGGAGTAGAACCCTGGCTTGCCCTCGCCGGCTCCTTTGTAAGCTCACTAGGAAGATTCATTTTTGCATAACACAACTGTGGTCATACCAACCCTTCCCAGGGTTCTAAGAATTGTTCTCACTTGGAGCCTAGTTTAGCACATCATGGAAGGTGGGACAGGGCCTGGCGAAGGGACAGATCAGGTTAGCAAGAGCTCTTAAATTCAAGATGGTCTCAGCATGTGATGGTAAGGGGTTCTCTCCCTTCCTGGGTGTGGCCTGTGGGAGCAAGGTCTTGGTGCCTCTGGCAGGACACAGACACGGGAGGATAGGCTGGGGTGGGAACCAGCCTCAGGAGTTATTACATAGTGATGAAATGGATGATGTCATCTCTGAGGTACTGCCCGTTGGGGACAGGCACAATCATTGGAATTTCTTGAAGCATGATAAAAGCAAGTAACTAGATATGAAAGCTCCTAGGCCTTGTATCCAGCTGCACTGAGGCCTGAGACAGCTGACAATTGACACGGGGCCATTAGTGCTAAATGCCCTTTTTTCTTGTAATCCAGGACAAGCTTGGGGGAGGGGGAAAGGCCAGTATTGAGTGCCTGCAGCATCTGCTACTACATCTTCACCATTCAGAACTTGTAACTAAAATATTTAAAGAGACCGATCTTGAATGAAAATTAAAGGGCAAATGTTCTCAAGCAGGGTTCCCGCATCTGTGCTCCTTTTGACCCTTGGTTGTGTAGCCTCGTAGGCAACCACAATGGTCTTTATCTTTGAAACCTACTTCATCTTTCATTGCTATCCTGTAGTGCCCTGAGGCCCCTCTCCCAGACTTTCAACATGTTAGTGCTTTGCTGATTTAACTGACAGCCAGGGGAACCCACTGCTCTTAGTGCCCTGGGTCGCTTTCAGGGAAGCCAACCCTTGAAATCGTAGCTCCCACCCACCCATGTGAAGCTCCTTCAGAACACCAAGGGACGGTTGCCTTTTTGAGGGTCTTTGGACTTAGTTGACACATGTGTGCCAAGATACTTGTGGTTAGAATGAACAGTGAGAGGTCACCTAGGAGTATATGAGGGGCAATGGACAGGACAGGGTTGGTCACTGACCTAGAATGACTATGAGGGATAATGGGCATGATGGAGTGTAGGCTTCAACAACATCCTTTCTTTTCCACACACAAGCCTGTCTGTTGATCCTGCTTGTTGTGAGGCCTACCACAGGAACAATTACAGCTGCAGGTGGGTTCAGTGGATGGTATGTCGGTGCAGTGCTTGATGCACTGCAGATTTTAATGTGTCCAGGAAACTTCTGGAGTAGCTATTCACAGCCCCTGTCACAACTGGGACCTTGGCTCAACAGCGTCCTGTACAGCAGGTTGACCAGATGAGTCCAGAAGTGGCTTGTATTATATAAAGCACTGGCTGAATTTGTCTGGCATGATGGTCTACCACAGAAGGAACCTATGCTAGTGAGCCAGCTCTACTGGTTGGTTCTAAGTTAACCTGTCGGGAGAATCTTCCATGGGCTCACTAGTGATTAGTGGTGCATTCCTCAGGCACCGTGATCTTTTAAGGCATCTCTTCTTTCCTCCCATTCCTGGTCCTGTGTAGCAGCAAGGGCTGCTCCCTTGCAGGTCACTGACTGCAGTTAATCATGCAAAGAGTCACAGAAAGAATAGGCTTTATTAGAGTGGACAAACCCCGGGGTTGCTAGGTTGCATGCCAGGGAGCAGTTGCACTTCCCTCATCCTCCAGACTCAGAAATGGGAATATTGGGCGTGTTGTTGTGTTGCTCACGCACGCGCACACACACGCACACGGTGAGTGGCCTGATTGGTGAACTACACCAGATGCCACCTGTGGTGTCCATATTGTGGTGTCTCATTCTAAAAAGTGGGCAGTGAATTGGATAGAACTTCATACCAAAATGCAGCATGGAAAACGACCGACCACACCTGAGAAAAGCATCTGCTGTTGGCCTTGAGAGGCAGACTCCTCTGACACAGGAGAGCCAGCCAGAGAATAAAGCTCTTTATTCTGGTTTCCAACTCAGTCTAAGTGGTAAAACTGCATTTTTAACCCCTCAACCCTACTGGCTTCTCCTTAATTTACTCTCCACAGTCGTGGGTTATACTTACCCCACCGCTCCCCACTTAACCCTACAGAATAACCTACTTCCGAGTGACCCAACCCCTGTAGGGACAAACGTCCTCTGGTAGAAGCCTCCCACTAAAATGGGCCAGGACAGTTTTGGTTTGGGTCTACTGAGTCAGTTCAGTGTCCTGAGATGTCTTAAGTGGTGTACAACATGGCAGTATCACCAAATTTGTCAGCTGGCTCAGCAGTTTGTTCAGTTTGGAGCTAAAGCAACAGAAGGCACCCACCCTTTAACATGATGGGTCCCAGTTAAGGGTACAAGGTATGTGTTCAACAAGCATCTGTTTCCTGATCTGTAGGTTCTCAGCAGGGTGTACCTCACTGCCCCTCCTGCAGCCTCTGGGGAGGGGGGGGGGGCTGGCTTTTTTTTTTTTTTTTTTTTTAAGGACAGATGCAGTCATCAATCTTAGGCCCAGGCAGGTTCTGAGCAGGGTAAGTGGCTGCCGCCCATATTTGCCCCCTAAAGTTCACTGATGAGGGGCCAGCCCAGAAGGCAGAACATGAAGAACTTGGCCAGCTTCTTTGTCCATTTACAAACCCCTTACCCCATTAGTCGACTCCATTGGATGGTACTGAAAAAGGGGTGGGACTTGAGTTTGCTGATGCCACCACCTCCAGCACCTAGGCGCCGCTGGGGATCAAACTGCAACAGCTATGGGAAATAATCAGGGTTGTGCGTCCCCTCCCTATCAGGAAGGTAGTAGTCACCCACCTCCTGGGACTTCTATCCCCAAACCCTTAAGATGCTCATTTCCTGTTAACCAGTCAGTCAGCCCCTCCCCCGTGACATTGGTGGTAGCTAGCACAGACATCCGTGGGCATTTTCTGCCCTAGTGCTCTCCATAGTTAATTGAATAGGCAGTTCCTCCCATCCCCCACCCACATACCAATAAGTCATCTCTAGGCCAACCAATACCTCACCTCAGTCAACAGGGAGGCTGCTGGGCGACTGAGCCACTCTGGGAGCTGTAGTTGGGTGTGAGCCTGGAATCCTGAGGGGTGGCTCTGGGCCAATGCCTGGAGAGGAAGGGGACACAGGAGAGGCCACATTAGGGAAGCTTACACCCCCATGACAGCCAAGATTTGCTCCACCTCCATGAAACATTGCAGGAGCTAGATGATGCCTATAGTTGCCTTTTGCTAGGATCTACTAATGACTCAGACAGAGCTAGACCCTTGACATTGAAGACAAGAAGCCGCTCAGGAAAAGGGAGTTGGGTTAGCATAGGGGTTTGAGCCTGCAGCTTGTAGGGAACATTATCTCAGTTGTCTTTAGAGTGGAAGCTACTGGGAACAGCACCAGAGCTTATTTCTGTATAGGAAAAGGCTCTACAAGTTATGCATTTGATGGAGGCCTGGCATGCAGCCATTGAGACCAAGGCAGGAATGTGGAGAAAAGCCAAGTATGTGGAGGTAAGGATGAGCTGCAAGAAGAAATGCAGGAGAGTCATGTGGGGCTTGGGGGCATTGGTGTAAAGGGTTCTCAGAGGCCCCGAGCCACTGGGAACAAAAGCAGGTCAGGTCTGGCCTTTAGGTCACACCGAAGTTTGCTGGTGCCACCCAAAACTTGCCTGCTCAAATGTAGTTTGGCCACTCCCTTGTTCCCAGACATAGTTTTGGGCTCTTGTGAGATAAGTAAAGAAGGCAAAGCCTTGTCAAGTAGGTTCTCTCTCTCTCTCTCTCTCTCTCTCTCTCTCTCTCTCTGTCTCTCTCTCTCTCTCCCTCCCTCCCTTCCTCTCTCTCCTTCCCTCTTTCCCTACCTCTCTCTTCTTCTCTCCCTCTCTCTCCCTCTCTCGCCCCCTCTATCTCTCCCCCTCTCTCTCTTCCTCTCTCTCCCCCTCTCTATCCCCCCCCCCCCCCGGTGTGGTGTGTGTGTGTGTGTGTGTGTGTGTGTGTGTGTGTGTGTGTGTGTAGGCCAGAGGCTGAAAGGTGTCTGTCTTCTCTTTTTCTGTTTTTTTAAAGACAGGGTCTCACTGATCTCCACTGACTGACCAGAAAGCTCTGGGAATCTAATCTGCTCGTCTCACCCCAGGCCCTGTGTTAGGGAGCAGCTGTGTATCATCACAATTGACTTTCCCATGGTTGCTGGGGATCAAACTCAAGGCTTCATGCCTGAGCAGCCGGTGCTTCAGTAACTGAACCATCCCCAGCCTTCAAGTGGGCTCGGCTGACCAGGTTTGTCAAAGCCCCTGCTGGCTTGGATGCAAGCGCCTTCTCCCCCTTCCAGCTGAGGTCTAGGGATCTCAGCCTTGAAGGGTGAGTGGGAGTGAACAGTAGGAAGAGACTGGCTATAATCCAGAAGCCTTTCAGGGAGGGGCTGCTGCCTTCTCCAAACCTCAGGCCCACCATGCTCTTCCATAAACCTCTGGCTATCCCAGCTCATACAATTCACGGAAATTGCCTGTATCTTTAGCAATCGTCCCTTGTGTGGTGGTAGGAGTGCTAACGGCTCTGGCGGCCTGGTGGGAGTGACTTCCTCTATTGCTTTTGGTCTTGTGGGTGGAAGGATTCAGCTCAAAGGTCAGGCATGTAGAATCAGTCAACCTCTGCTTTGACCCGGGCTGGCCAAGCCTCTGCTCAGCCTATACCCTATGGTCCCTACCAGGGCTCTGCCCAGCTACTCACCGTTCCTGTGAGCATTTCATATAGAAGTGACCCATAGCTCCACCAGTCACAGGCTTCAGTCAGCTCAGAAATCCCCCCGACCTCTGCGAGAACAAGAACACATAAGACAGCCCTTTCTGTTGTCGTTCTAGAACCCACTGCCCTTCCTCGGTCTTTAACCCACACCAAAGCACCCAAGGTCTAGGAACCTCCCCCAACTCCCTTCTTGCCTGGAGCACTGTACAGGCAGTCCACCGCCTCCTGGCTGCACTGGGGCTCCACTTCTGACCACTGGCCAAAGTATGTGAGTCGGATGTGACCTTGTCCAGGGTATGTAGGGAGGGCAAAGGTTGAGAGTAACATCACTGAGCAGCTGGAATCTCTAAGCAGTCCCAAGGCTTCCCCCAGTGCGATCGTGTTAGGGGCTGAAGGTCATCCCTTGTTGCCCAGGACCTAGAGGTGTTCCTGGAACTGCAGCCCCAGGCTCACATCCTCCGTAAAGGGCCAGGAGGGGGGAGGGGAGTAGGGAGGAACTGCATGCATGTTGCCTTTATAATCTTGGGAGTCCTGTTGACTCTGGGCTCCCACCTGAGGAGTAGGATTGAAACAGGGAGGCTGGGGCTCCTACCTGCCTGGTCTAGAAGCAGGTTCCGCGGGTTGAGGTCTCGGCACAGCACCCCCTGCTGGTGTAGCGCCTCCAGTGCCGCCAGCATCTCAGCTGCCCACTGCTTCACCTGTTCCTCCCTCGGGCTCCAGATAGCTCTTCCATGCCCCAAACTAGCCCTGTTTGCTGATGGGGGGTTCTGACCTCTGCCTCGGCCATAGGCCCCTAGCACCCGGTCAGCCCCTTCCCGTACCCAGTGGAGCTTCCGATTGGGTGCAGTGTTCGAACTCTGGCCAGCTCTCCTGGCTTGACTGTGCACGTGGCCACATGG